TTTATTACTATAAATACAGTGGTATACATTTTGATTGTCCAATTATAAAATCTTGAGTTTATTAAAAGACTTGATCATTTAACATTTAATGATCCAATATTGAAATTAACAAGTTAGCTGGTTATCTCAAATTATACAAATGTGCATTATAACTATGATTAGAAACTTTTTAAAAAATATATATTTTATTGATTTTGTACAGAGAGGAAGGGAGAGTGATAGTTAGAAACATCGATGAGAGTCATCGATCAGATGCCTCTTGCACATCCCCTACTGGAGATATGCCTGCAACCAAGGTCATGCCATTGACTGGAATCGAACCCGGGACCTTTCAGTCCCCAAGCCGACGCTCTGTCCATTGAGCCAAACCGGTCCTGGCAAGAAACTTTTTGTCACTACATCATTTTACTGTTCTCCTAGGCAATTTCTGTGCTTCAATGATCACAAATATGTGTGGATGACATTCAAATTTACTCACCAACCCAGACTTTAATTTCTGAGGTAGCCCATCATGCTTTTGTGCACTTTAAACTTAAGGTGATCATGATCAGATATAGATTCTTCACCTCCAAACTTTTTCCCCCCATTTTTTTCTTTCTCTGATTAATGGTGTCATTGTAATCCTAGTCATTTCTGATCCTAAAATTGCTTTTTGTTCCTACTTTTCCCAGTCATATGTTCACTTCTCATTAATATCCTTTTAAATTTCTTATAGTTGCCAGTATTCTCTCTTACCAACACAAATGTATACACTAGCCTTTTCATTGTTGCCACAATTCATTTGTGCCAACCATGTTGTTCTACTCTCCAGCCCGAAATATGCTTTGTGTTTTCTAAAGTTTCACTCTGTGAATCTTTCATATTTTCTTAAGTGAAAAGTTAAAAGATGCAATTCATTTTATTGAAAACATTTACTATACCCTTTTTGGTAATCAGAAATCTTTTAAAATTTAATCTGTATATAATGATTTTTAAATGAACAAATGGCAAGTACTTCAATTTTATCAGAGTTTGTTGATATAATTGTCTCCACCAGTGTTCACCTTAACAGATTTACCAAAGCTCTTGGTTTAGTTACCTTAGAAAGTTAATGTGTCAACACTCTGTATTGTCAGTTTAGGTTCTCCACTAGGCAGGTGGCAATTTGGGTTTAAATATGCAAGCATTTTATTAAGGAGCATTATATGAAAATAAATAAATAAAGATGCCAAGGAAAGCTGGAAAGCCCTCACACTATGATATCTGACCCAAACGAAAAAGAGAGGTGGAAACGCCTAGACTTCCCTGGTGCAATGACATTATAGGGAAATTCTTTATGATTATATAGTGAATAGGACTCCACCAGCCTTATTATATTTTTTTATTCTGGCATCAAATATATATGCTCTAAAATATATTTTACATATGTCAAATTAATCTGCAGTTTGTCCGTTTTTATCTCAACCTTCCAGTGTTGCCAACAATAAAAATGCATCCATTTTTAACAATTCATAAGGACCCTGTGAGTCCATTGGTTTTCCTCTGATAAGAAGCTGTAAAGATCCCCTTATTAGGAATATATGTGGAAAATTATGGGATTTTTCATTTTCATGGTGGCTTGTCAGTTCATTCAGAAATAGCAATTCATCATATTCCCTGTTCCTAATAAAATAATAAGCATGTTTATTCTTCGGTTTGGTTGTTGCTTGAATGAGAAAATTCAGAGGCAGAAATTTAATAATTCATGACTGGCTAGAAACTGTAATTTTCTTCTGTATAGCTCTTCTATCAGCCAACTGTGTTGAGCCCATTATTATTATAACCAGGTACTAAAGGGGATAAACATAAATGAAATATGTTAAAAAGAAGGAAATAAATGCCTTTGGATGGACTAGTACTTTGCTTGTAATCGAGACAGATTGTAGGTAAATCTGTGCTTTAGAAATTCTTATAGGCTGAAAGCAAACCTGCCATTTTCTAGATAGAGGTGTATAGGTGAATGCACACAGTTTTTATATCATGTTAGTATAACGTAAATAGAGCTAAACTGGCATAATTTTTTTTCAATTTTATTTGAGTTACAGTGTACACTAATATTATTTTGCATTAGCTTCCAGTGTACAGCATAGTGTTTAGACAATGATATGCTTCACAAAGTGGTCCCTCCAATATTTCTGGTACCCACCTGGCACCATTCTTAGTTAACGCAATATTATTGACTATATTCCCTATGCTGGTGACCATTTTGCAACTACCAATTTGAACTTCTTAATCCCTTCAACTTTTTTTCACTAAGTCCCCCCCAACCCTTCCCTCTGGCAACCATCAGTCTGTTCTCTTGAGTATGTTTCAATTTTGTCTATTTTGTTCCTTAGATTCCATATATAAATGAGATCATGTGGTATTTGCTTTTCCCTGTCTGACTTAGTTAATTTAGAATAATACCCTCTAGGTCCATCCATGCTTTTGCAAATGATACAATTTCTTTTTTTCTTTTTTTTATGGCTGAGTACTATTCATTTTATATATGCAGCGCTGCATTTTTATTCACCCATCTGTTGATGGGCACTTATGTTGCTCCCATAGCTTGGCTGTTGTAAGTAATGCTGTAATGGTCATAGGGATGCATATAGTGTTTTGAATTAGTGTTTTGGGATTTTTCAGATATCAACCCAGAAATGGAATCATTGGGTCATAAGGCAGTTTCATTTTTAATTTTTTGAGGATCCTTCAAAACTGTTTTCCATTGTGGCTTTTCCAATCTGCATTCCCACCAATAGTGAACAAGGTTTCCCTTTTCTCTACATCCTTGCCAACATTTGTTATTTTTTAGATTTATTAATTATAGCTATTCTGACTATTGTAATGTGATATTGATTGTGGTTTTAATTTATATTTCTCTGATTAGTGATATTGAGCATCTTTTCATATGACTATTGGCCATCTGTAAGTCCTATTTGGAGAAGTGTTTATTTAGATCTTCTACCCATTTTTCAATTGAATTTTTTTGTGTTTTTTTTTTCTGTGAGTTCTTTATACATTTTGGATATTAACCCCTTACTAAATATATCACTAGAGAATATATTTTGTCATTCAATAGGTCGTCTTTTTGCTTTGTTGACAGTTACCTTTGCTGTGCAAATATTGTTTCATTAATGAGAGAGAGAGAGAGAGAGAGAGAGAGAGAGAGAGAGAGAGAGAGAGAGAGAGAGAGAAATTTGTTGTTTTATTCATGAATTCGTTGGTTGACTCTTATGTATGCCCTGTCAAGGGATTGAACCCACAGCCTTAGCATACTGGTTCTATGATCTAACCAATCAAGCTACCAGACCAGGGTTAATGTGAAAAAACTCTTTAGTTTGATGTAGTTCCACTTGTTTTATGTTTTTCTTTTTAAACTATAATGAGATAATAGACTTGTTTTTTGATCCCACAACTAAATCTCAAACAATTGTTAGCTTGGCCTTTACAAATATCTCTATTCTCATTTCCTAAGCATCTTCTCAGCACTAGGCAATCTACTAGATATTTCATTTAAATATATATTTACTGAAAAAATAATTTAATCAGGTTGACTATTTGGCAAAATCCCTTGCAAGAATTTGGTCTTGTCCAAAACATCCATAGATACATTTGGTCCACGCCCAAAAGATTATTGATACGTGCTGACATATTAACAGATCATGAATCAAGAGATCCCCTCCTCAACTTATCACGAATCAAGAGATCCCCTCCTCAACATTTTTTTTCCCTCTGAGAATTTCTCTACTGTAAGCTTCTTTCTCAGAAATCATGCTTAATATAAATTGTATTCAACTGTGTTCTTCAAGATTAGAACCTTAATTCATGTACCTAACCCCATGAGCCATTACTAGCTGAGACACATAGGCAAGAAGGGTGATTTGGGTCAATACAACCACAGCACACTGATTGGACCAGTTTAAAAGGAAAAAAATATATATATATATATAATGTTAATTCTGTAAACCAAAATGTAAATAAACATTATGCTCTATTTTAACTCAGGGACATTTTATAAGCATGGATAGTTTTGACACCAAATATCAAGGACCATCTGGTATGGAGCAAATAAACTCATGGATGTTTTGGACAGGACCAACTTTCAAGAACTTTTTATATGAATCAAATATTTCAGTGGATGTTTTGGACAGAAACAATTACTCAGTTTTGTAGTATGTAATCAGGTGCATGTATTTATTAGTAAAAGAAGAAACAGGTAAGACTGTCACTTGTTTTTGTTTTTTTTTTTTTTTTTTTTTTTTTGAAGATAGCATTCATCTTTAGTGGCACAGACACACTCTTGGGTCATATTAAAGTGACACATTTCCGCATTGAAAAAAGATGGATAGTTCCTTTGACTTTGACTAAATCTTTGTTATTACTATGAAATTTGCCTTCTGCTATCACTATCACTCTCTGTCAATCTAATGTTAGAACGCAGAAAATGTCTTATTTTTAAACTGCCTATCAATTTATTTGGTTGGATTTGACAGCTTCCCAGTTGTCCAATACTGTCCCTATTATTTGCATTTTTTTTTATTATGTTAACATAATAAAATACCTAATAAATATCTACTGTGGGCCATGACATTGTCCCTTTTTGGTTTATGCATCAGAAGTTATATGAATATCAAGCAGTCATAAGTTGTTTTTCATTTTATTGTTAGCAATCATCACCTTTGTACATGCCAAGATTTTATGCCAAATCATTATCTTCCCTTTTCTGGCTAACACATCAATTAATATCCCAGCAAAAGTTATCTGATTTCCTGCTGAGTACTTACTTCCTTAATAAATAAAGCAACTTCAGTTTCTCTATGTACAAATAAGAATTTAAAGTATATACACTTTTATTTCATTTTAGATATTTGTATACAAGGTCCAGAAAGTAAATTAAAAATGTACTTTTTTACTATGTTTGTTGTCTCCAAGAACCCCAGATCCTCTTTTTAACTCATCAGGTCATGTTTGTTTTTTTTGTTTTTTGTTTTTCTTTCTAGGACTATAATGATGAAATTCGTCAGGAACAGCTACGTGAATTATCCTACTTAAATGGCTCAGAAGACTCTGGTCGTGGCAGAGGTATTAGAGGCAGAGGGATCAGAATAGCCCCCACAACGCCTTCAAGGTACGTTGGTTTTTACTTTAAGTAAATTAGCAGCCAATGAGGCTGGCAAGCTTTTGCTGGTTTATTCTGTGGCATGATCACAGCAAGGAATAGGCAACACCAATCTCAGCCACAATAACCCCCACCTCTACAAAAACAACAACAATGAGTGCTTATTAAGAACTTTCAAAAATTAACTCATCAAATCTCCATACCAAGATTAAATATTATATACAGGTGGTAAATTGAGATACAGAAATATATCAGACTTTTTTTTTTCCAGGTCAAAGAGCAAGTTTGACCCAAGAAATCACAGTTTGAGCTCCAAACAGTTACCCTAAGGAAATAAGAGATTTTCCTTTTTTGGTTCTGTCCCTAGGATTAAGACATGCAGATGACACACTAAATGCTTTTGAATCAGGATGACCTTGTGCAAAGAGAAAGTTACAAATGTTGTCTGTGCCTTAAATAACCCTTGAATTAACTTGCCAGATATGTATAGAGATAGTTGATTTTAGGTCAATAAATAGATGGTAGATTATATATACATATAGATTGTGTGTGTGTGTGTATATATATATATATATATATATATATATATATATATATATATATATATAATCTTTAGCGAAAGCCAGAAGCATACTTCTTGCTTAGCAGATGGTAAGAGTATTTAAAGTTTAGTTACACTTGACTGTTGCAATCTCTTTGGCCATCAGAAAGGATTTGTTTTATAGGATTCTGAAATTGTCAAGTTTTCAACAGAAAGCATTGGTTTGCAAAGAAGTGAAGTAAAAAATATTCATAGCCTTCATACACAGACATTGTAACTTTGTCATTCTCTCACCCTGTTATAGTTGGCCTTCAAATCACTGAACGGCATAGATCTAGAATATTATTTTTTATATTGCATAGAAATCATCTTAAGAGAGTGTAGGATATTTTGTTGTTTCAATTTATTTGTTAATTATGCTCCAAATATTTTCAACCAGCACTATCAAAAGACCACTATTTTAATATTTAAGTCATAAATACCTCAAACAGTTCCTTACCAGAAAAAAAAGTTAAGAATGATAAATTTCCAAATAAAACAGAAAGGCAATAACTATGTAAAGGTAAAAATGTGGCAATTCTTAAAATTACATTTCAGTCAAAACTGGTTTGGCTCAGTGAATAGAGCATCAGCCTACCGATTAAAAAGTCCCGGGTTCGATTCTGGTCAAGGGAATATACCTTGGTTGCGGGCACATCCCTGGTAGGGGGTGTGCAGGAGGCAGCTGATCAATGATTCTCATCAATGTTTCTAACTCTCTATCTCTCTCCCTTCCTCTGTAAAAAATCAATAAAATATATTTTAAAAACTCACATTTGACTAAAGGCAACACTTCTGAAAATGTTCTAGAGCATATTTTTATACTTTTATCTTTAATAAATAAAAACAGAATTCTTAATGCTATCCAGAAACATTTGTGTAATGCTAAAAATCTGGCATAACATTTTTATGAACATACTTTTTATGGAATTAGCCTCTTAGTAAAACAGTGTATTTTGGGTTGTGAAATGACATAGCAGGTACTTTCAAATGATTTAATCATATGCTTTAAATCATGAACTTGTTGGTCTTATAATTTAGAAATGACAGTTTTGTCTACATAGATTTTTGTTCTCATTTTATATTCCTTGAGACCATTTTTTAAAATAATGCATTGACTGCTTTTGAGATTATAAAATCATTCCATTAATAGATTTTATTTTGTTATTAATGTTGCTTAATGTAATATTACATTTGCCATATTTGAGTGAACTATGAGATTTTTATTTCAGTAAAATGTACTAAAATTTTAATCTCTTTAATGACTTAAGAAAGAATAGTGTATTATGATCTAGATTTTTAATTATTTTAAAGAAATATTTTGACTGAAAGGTTTTGGTTTTTAATATCCCATATATCTTACAGATCTATTACCATATACACAAAAAGAAAAGACAATTACTGTTGAAAATTAAACCTCACTTTCAATGCTGTATTGATATCTTTAATGTATTAACATTAATGAAAGTAAATGGAGCAGAGCTCTGTCATCTTCTATTTCAAACCACATGATGAAATGTATCTACAAGTGAGGAATAAAGAAAAACCTTCTCAAACAGAAAATTATATATTGATCAGAAAACCCTTAAAAACAGAAGCTAATGTTAATTTTTACATATTAATGAAATTGTGTATTTATTAAGTTTTCAGTTACACATATTAAAAAATATGTACCTGAATATTTTACATCTATAATTAAATGTCTATAATAATTTGTTGAAAATTTATTTAACTAAAAAGATTATGTTTCAATAAACATATCTATGAGAACTAATTCTCTGATAATACATACATACTAGGAAACAAATTCTCTGAGCATACATACATAAACAAATGTATGTTTCACTACACATAACTATGAAAATGAATTCTCTGATAATACAAACATACCAGAAAACACTTATATATTATTTCTATCATATAACTAAAGACTTAAGATACATGACATCTCTAACACCCTTCAGCACTGCATGCTGAGTGAGAGCAAACAGTAGAAAATGAAACCTTAGGGGTAGATTTTGAAGGCTGTGTTTCCTATAATGAGAATCAATACAGAGAACTAATGGAGCTTATTAAAGAGGAGAGTAATCATATTTGTTTCTAAAAAAAGACTACTCTGTCATCACTGAGGGTGATACAGAAGAGACACTGACTCACGGCAGGAAAGCCAGGGAGAAGACAAGTCCATTATCCCAAAGAGAAATGGACGCCACTTCGAGGGTGGATATATAGGACTAGACTAGAGATTAGAATTTGTGGGAATTAGTACCTAATTAGGTATTGGAGAAGAAAGAGGGCCTAAGTTAAAGATAACTTTGTGATGTCTATCCCAGTTAGAGAGTATTATATCATCAACGATGATTTGGTGTGCCAACCAAGTTAAATGAAGGCAATAATTGTTCCTATAATTAAATCTAACTCTTTGGCCAAAACTGCTTTGGCTCAGTGGATAGAGCGTTGGCCTGCAGACCGAAAGGTCCCGGGTTTGATTCCAGTCAAGGGCATGTACCTTAGTTGCGGGCACATCCCAGTAGGGGGTGTGCAAGAGGCAGTTGATTGATGATTCTCTCTCATCGATGTTTCTAACTATCTATCCCTCTCTCTTCCTCTCTGTAAAAAATCAATAAAATATATTTTTTTTAAAAAATCTAACTCTTTGGATGTGCTAGCATGACCTTTGGCAGGTGACTTGTACTTTAAGTGCCTTGGTTCTGAACCATTAAAACAGCTTACCAGTAGAAATGGCTACATAAAAAGCTTGTGAAGATTTTAAAATTAGATTGTGTGTATAGGGAGGGGTTCTCAAAGTATCTGCACATTGGGATCACTGACGGCTCCTGCTTCTAGATATTGTGGTTTAATTGGCCAGAGGTATGGCCCAGAATTAGGAAGTTTTCAAAGGTTATCAGGTAACTTTAATGTGCAGACAAGTTAAGAACCTTCTGATGTAAAACCCATATTGTGGGACATGGCAAGTGTTAGGAAGGAAGCAGATAATAGTCATCATTAGAGTTAGGGACTGCAGGGTGTACCATGAGGGGAAAAAAGGATAGAGGACAGAAAATGGGGACACTCATATTCCGGGGGGGAGGGGGGGGGCAGAAATAGAGAAGCCAGTGAAGGAGGTTAAAATGTAAGAAAGAAGAGGGAGAAAATGTGGAGAAAAACAGAGTATTAAAGTCCAAAGAAGGCATTTTCCAGATAGAGTTCTTCAGTGATAAGTATAATAGGGAGGCAAAGTGGAAAGGGAATTGTAAACAAATTGAGTAGATTTTGAAATCTGTAGACTATTTGTGAGGTTAGTCAAGAGTTATTTCCAACAGAGTGGCAAAAACCATACCTAGATGACATTTTTTAAATTTTATTTTTCAATTACAGTTTACACTTAATGTTATTTTGCATTAGTTTTAGGTGTAAGGCATAGTGGTTCGACAATCATATACTTTATAAAATGTCCCCCACTCTGATATTTCCAGTATTCACCTGGAATCATGCATAGCTATAAATTACTATTGACTATATTAGCAATGCTGTACCTTACAACCACATGATTAATTTGTAACTGCCAATTTTTACTTCTTAATCCCTTCATACTTTTTTTTTAAATTAAAGAATGGGTATTTGAATAATTAAAAGGAGGGAAATTCAAGAAGTCAATAAAATGAAGGAAAGAATGCTATAGTGTCGGTGCAGCCAAGTACCATATCCTAAAATAGGTGACTTGAATCTTGAGTTGCATTGGAGAAGAGAGCCATGGGGTTAATACCCCAGGGGAAGGACAGATTCTGGAGATAGGTTTGCTAGGATTTTGTCTTTGAGACATTGATGAAAGAATGGGATAAGAAATTAGATATGATGCAAAGATTGTAAATTTTTAAAAAAATATTTTTATTGATTTCAGAGAGGAAAAAGAGAGGGGGGGAGAGAGAGAGAAACATCAACAATGAGAGAGAACTGCTGCCTCATACACACCCCCTACTTGGATTCGAGCTGGCAATCAGGGTACATGCTTTTAACTGAAATCAAACCTGGAACCCTTCAGTCCACAGGCCAATGCCTTATCCCCTGAGACAAACCAGCTAGGGAAAGATCATAACATTTTAAAACAGGAAGAATTTTTACAGATTCAGAATCAGATTTGACTCATCATAAAGAAAGAAAAAAAATCCACCTCAGGCCCAGTGAGGTATAAGACTTACCTGTGATTATTCAGTGATATACCCTGGGCTTGTGAATGCAGTTTAAAGGAGGTGACATATAATTTACTAGCCCCACATGGACACTTTTAAGAGTATTAAAATGCTAAACTGAACAGCAAGCTAACACAACAGCTGTAAATCAGAACTATACTGAGCAAACCTTGAAATACGCTCACTCTGTTTATGAGGAAACAAACAGATAGATGCTCTTTCCAGTAAAGGTGATTTTGGCCTTTTCATGCTTTTTTATAGGTGTGTTTTATATTACCATGATAATATAGAATATGGTATTACATTATCATGATAATGCACAACATTGCTTCCTGGGCTCTATTGTGCTTGAAGCAGGCACCCGACCTTCTGAGTCTTTTATATTTCAGCTTCCCCCAGTCTAGAAGTGCGTTTTCTATACATTAGACTCACAATAATTCTCTGATAATTCCTCTATTCCTCAACTCTGTAATCTATTTAAAACTTTTAAAAGCTTTACCAGCATTCTTACTGTTCACTGGTAAGAGCTCATTTTCTGCAAGCAAGAAAGAGCCAGCTGACTGCTATTCATAGCAGAAAGCATAACCTACATTCCCCATCTGTGGGTGCAGCCAAACCGTGTGATTGTTGACATCCCAATGATCATTATTTTTTCCCGAAGCTTTAGTGTTCCTGCTGAAAGCAGTGCTTTCTGCAGACCAGCCTTTCAGACATAATAAAAAGTGAAATAACCATGCTTCTGCCCAAAGACTTCAGACAAGCACTCCACCTTTCCAAAGGCCTCGGAATACCATAAAAATTGGCTGCATCCATTTGATCTAGGGCTTTTAGTGCAAGTTACTTTTGTGTCAAGCACCGTAGTACAGAGTATTCAGTCTATTTATTTATTTTTTATTGTGGAGTCCTAATGTATTTCAGTAGTTTCATAGTTATCAGAGGAAAATAGATTGTATCAGGGACTCTCCCAGTTCGGGGGATTACATGCATGACAGTAAATCAGTGACAATGAGCTGTGAATTCCAGTGACCTCCATCCTGAGCTCATATAATAAACAGAATGATATCACCATGGTTAGAGTTTCACCTTTTATTAAGTATTAAAGGACAGATTTTTTTTGTTTGTAAATGACAACATTGCACATCACTGTCAATAAACTCCAGCATGGAGGGGACATTGACATTTGGCAGCTCAGTTTCCTATACGGTCCAGTGAGTCATAGATTAGACAGTGCTCTCATTTGGGTCTTCTTGGAACATTTGGAACAAACATGAGAATGGGTTGGTGTGTTTGGTAGGTTATGTAGTTTTATAAAAGAAAAACACCAAAGTATTTGACATGGTATACATAACTAAGTCATAACCGGTATTTACAAAATTTGTTTACCAGTATTCACTGTGGAGATCAAAGTATGCTACATTCTGAAGAATCAAACACACACACACACACACACACACACACACACACACACACACGCACACATGTTTGTGCTTCTGGTGATAAATGTGGCTCCTTCCCATTGTGTGGAGGCTAAAAAGAAGCACTTTGTCTGTTTTAGTCCCCTTGTCCCTTTCTCTCTTCATGTGATTCTCATCTGAACATGTCCCATTTTTCCTAGGAGTCGTGGGGGTGCCATTCCTCCTCCCTTACCACCTGGACGAGGTGTTCTCACTCCTCGAGGGACCACTGTGACCCGAGGAGCTCTCCCAGTGACCCCGGTAGCAAGAGGTGTCCCTACCCCACGAGCGCGGGGGACACCCACAGTGCCAGGATACAGAGCACCCCCCCCTCCAGCCCCCGAGGCTTACGAAGAATATGTAAGTACCCTCGACACGTCGGTTGTTAGGAAGATTTTAGTTAATTGAGTAACGAGCTGAGCCTCAAAGACTTAACATGCTATGAATCTAGCAGATGCTGTTTGTTGCAGAAAGTGAATGGCATTGGCAAAAGAATTTAAACAGTGCACATACTGGTAAACAGCAGCATTCTGAGAAAAGCTTTCATTTTATGAGGTGCCATGGTTGTTGTTCGTACCAGTTAAATAGTTTACATTTTGAGAATCAAACTATCCTGAGGTTTTCTTATCTTTATGAGACTCCATCAATTTCCAAATGGAAATAATTGTGAACATAATGTGAATCGTCATATATCCAGATGCTTCTCCTGGGATATGATCAAGGTCAGTATAAAACACTCAAATATTTGACAAGTATAATGTGACTGCATTATAAACTTTGGTCATAAGGTATAACCATGTGACTGGTCTTTCATATAAATAACCTTAACTTTCTCTTTCACTATGTGAAAGATATGGGATTGGCAGATATGAAGAATTTTTTAAAAATATAGAATGAACAAACGAAACATGGCATCTATAAATAACTCCCTCACTTCCCATCCACTGTATTCTTGATACACCCTTTGACCTTTCAGCTAGTTTGCTGGTATTCCACAGATCACATTGTATTCTAGTCCTTGTATCCACTCCCCCTACCTGAGAGTGAAAAAAACAGTTTCATATTCACTCCTGTGATCAGGATAAGTCCATTGTAAATGGTATATTGAATTGATGCAAGCCAGATCATAATTCTGGGAAACAGATTAATTTCGCCATTAACCTCTTCAGTGTTCTCATTTCCTAATCTAGGTGTTTGTTTCATTCAACCACCCACAGACATGCTGTGCTCTTCAATGTCCCCTGTAAATTATTATTTATTAAATATAAACTCATCAAGGATACTTACTGTCACATGCTGGGTACTCAAAACAAGTTTTCTATGGACTGGTTAATAACCAAGTAAAACTTAATCCTACATTCAAGTGAACATGGTTGATAGGTATCAATAAGAGTATGTTAGTGCTTAGAGTGCATTAATTATTAGGAATAATGTTACTGCTTAAATAAGAAACATTGACTAATATCTGCAAGAGTGATGAAAATTATTGTTATAAATCCATCTCTACTGGAAAAAGGGAAATGTGTTCATCTAAAGCACAGGTGGGGAACCTTTTTCCTGCCAAGGGCCATTTGAATATTTATTATACCATTCTCGGGCCACACACAATTATCAGCTTAAAAATTAGCGTGTTATGCTCTCGCCGGTTTGCCTCAGTGGATAGAGCTTTGGACTGTAGACTGAAGGGTCCCGGGTTTGATTCTGGTCTAGAACTGGTACCTTGGTTACAGATTTGATCCCCACCCCTGGTCAGGGTTTGTAGAAGGCAACCAATTGATGTATCTCTCTCACATTGATAGTTCTCTCTCTCTGTCTCTTCCCCTCCTTTCCACTCTCTCTAAAAATCAATGGACAAATATTCTTGGATGAGGATTAATGAAAAAGAATTTAAAAATTAGCCTGCTGTATATGCTCACACATTAAATTAACTCACCTCTAATGCCTTGGCAGGGCCAGACCGTATGATTTCTCAGGCTTTGTGCAGACCCAAGGCTGGATGTTCCCCACTCCTGACCTAAAGTATCATTTATAACATCAGGTCTCAGTGTTTAAAATTTTAGACAATTTGGAAATTTCAAAATCAGAAGCAAAAAGCATATTCTACTCTAAAATAGGCCCTCAGGCCAGGAAAACCAGAACTGATTCTTGGTTCTGCCCTCTCTTTTCTGAGACATAGGATGTATAAAATGAGTACTTGCTAAATGAATGAATTAAAATCCACAACGGGAATGATGGGATCACTTTTAATCTCTGAAGAATCTTTTCCACTGTACCATCTTCTTGTACATTGCCAACACGGTGTTTTTCAGGCTTCAACAGTTAGGTCTTTATTTCAAAAATTAAAAGAGAGAAAAGCTGTTTAGGTCGTAGTGGTCAACAGTATTATTAATCAGATAATTTATAGGGCATACACGGGGCACCATGAAAGAGAACAAGATTGACCAAACATTATAGCCTTTCACATGCATTCCAGTTTACAGTGAATAAATCATTGGGATACAAAGCAAATAAGAGTAAGCTTCAGACACATGATCTCACTCATTTATGGAATATAATGAACAACAAACTGATGAACAAAAATAAATCCAGAGACAGAGAAACATCTATCAGACCATCAAACCTCAGAGGGAAGGTATGGGAGGGTGGGAGTAAGGAGGAGAGATCAAACAAAGGACTTGTATGCACGCTTATAAGCCTAACCAATGGACACAGACAACAGGGAGGTGAAGGCATGAGTAGGGGGAGGAAGGAGTAGGGAGGGTAACGGGGAAATAAGGGCACATATGTACACCTTAATCAATAAAGAGATTTAAAGAAAACATTAAGAGTTTGTAGAAATATGGATGGAAAAGATTATATTCTAAAAGGAGAAATCTAGGAGGAGGGTGTTTCTTAAAGAAAATCAAAGAAATTGTGTAAAGTCATGTAGTCTGATTTTTTAAACTTAGATTTTATCCCTTATCCCTTGCCTGCATTCACTCAATCATTTCTAAGTATCTTATCCCTTGCCTGCATTCACTCAATCATTTCTAAGCCTGTATCTTATTTCAGGCACTGTTCTGAAGGTCCTAAAAATGTAGTTGTGAACAAAGGCCAAACATCTGCTTTCCTAAAGCTTATATTTAGTTCTCGTCACCTACAGATAACTGACTGGTTGTCTATCTCTCAGTCTAATCTAGGTCCCCAAGTGGAAGAACCCTATTGTCAGGTGTCTCACACTAGTGAATCAGCTGTGACAATAGGGTGAGAGTTTCTGGAAATTATGCCTGGAATCAAGCAGTCATAAGCCACCAGTGAAGAGGGGAGAAATGGGGTGAAGTTCACAAAATATAAGGTAGTGATTGGGAACCCAACCCCAAGGGTAGCATGGGAAAACACTGTTTTCCAGAGGAGAAAATACTATGAATTTGGCAGATATCCCAAAATAAGTCTATGATAATGTACTGTTGATAACAGGAAAAAGTAGATAACTGTTTTGTAAAGACTCTTTTTCGCTATATTTTTAAAACCTGTCATATGTTATATTTTAATTCTTTTTCTATAAACTATTCAATGAGTACATACAACGTTTAATGCATGGCTGGTAAGCTGCTTACAACAACCTCAGAAGTCTCAGTACCACGCCCTGATTAACACTCAAGAGCCTCTACTTTGCTCTAATTTTAAACTATTGATTTCTCTGTAAGGGTAGGAAAAACAAAGTTTAAGTGTCTTGGTAACAAAATAATAGCACCATGCTGAGTTGGTGGTGAAAATCTCTAGGAGTTCTTAACTTTCAAATAAAATTTCTTAGAAAAAGTTTCCCTTTATTACAGATGACACCGCAAGCCAATTCATTCTTTTTACTTTTCCTTCTCCCCTGCTGAGTCTGAACGTTAATCTTCTGACCACATAGAATGTATATGGGTGATCAGATCCACTCCTTGCAGCTTGCCTGACAAGAAACAGGTTACTGTAAGCGAGATTGCTGTTTATGAACATCATTAGTGTTAGCTTCAGTCTTTTTTTTTTTTTAATGTGGATTTTAGTTTGATATACATCCTAATCCAGACTGAAAGCATTTCAAAGCTTCTTTTCATTGACCTTCTGCTAAGAAGAGTTCCTTAACATTTTACAAGTCTGCAACCATGATTGAAGTAGATCTAGAGAATTGAAAAGTACGTTTCAGAAAAACACACCCACACAATAAAGTATGAAGCTGATTAACTCTACAATGGATAACATGTTCAATGGGAGTAAACTAAAACTTTATCTTTTGAATACTTACTAGGTTCTGGTCACTGAATATTAATTCATTTGGTTTCATGATAGCATGGACAATCTAGTAGATGGGGAAACTGAGTCTTGGGATTGAGGATAGCATCCAGTTTTCTGTCCCCAAAGCTTCTGTGTCTGTCACATTATTCTACATAGTCTTTGTCATGCTAACATGCATGTACTAGCACAGGTCATGTGTCCTCCAGACCTGGCATCCAGACCACTGGTCAGTGTTTGGATCCCTTTAGTGATATGTAGGACATAACCCAGCTTGACATGAACACCTCCAACTATGGGCAGCTCAATTCCTGTAGAAACTAAGCACTAGAAATATGAAAACTGTGTCTAAAGAGACTTTGTCTCTATTCTCCAAAGCATACCATCTAGTGGGAGAGACTAAGATTAGTCTTAACTTTTAACGTACAATATATAATTGCTGGATAGGGCTCTTATCTTACTCTACCCTCTATTTCAAGTAATTTTTGCTATCTCCTCCCACTTAACAAGATTAAACATCCTAAACGCAGGAAGCATTTCTTAAATGTATGTCATTTTTGTAGTTCTAAGTGCTTGGTAATAGCCATTGAATTGAACCTACTGATGATTTTGTTAGAAAAATGTTACATATATATAGTGAATATATATATGTGCATATTTTATAAAATTAGTGAATAATGAAAGCACAACATAGTGTATATTAAATGCCAAAGAGAGACTACAGTGTTGAGTAAAAGAAGGTTTATCGTTGTTGGTATGGAAAATAATACAATCATTAATAAATAATAATACAAGAATAAACTGTTTTACATATAACTGTAAGCCTACTTTTGCCACACCTTGTATTTCTGCTCCTAAAGGGAATTATCATTATGGTTATGGGTGTTTAAAAAAAAAACAAACCCTCTAGATGGTAAGGAAAAGAATAATAGAAAACTAAGATGAATAAGTATAACTCTGAGAAGAAGAAGAGGCAGGAAGTTCCATGCAAAACAAATAAACAAACGAAAAAGGATAATAAGGGTAGAAAAGGGACCATTCAAAGCAAATCTTAAGAATCTGGGAGGCCTGTTTGGGAGATAGAGTTCATTTAAGATAGCAGTAGA